ATATGATTTATATAAAGTACAAAGGAATTAGAGTGGACCCGAAATTACAAAAGTCCGGCGGTAGATGTAAGCTTATTTTGCGTAGATGCGAGCAAATGTTGAAATGAATAATGCATGTGTGCAAAATCAGTTAATCACTTATAAATCAATTCAATGAAATAGAAAATTATAGTTTGCCCACTCTAATTGGATTGTTAGCAAGTACAGTTCAATCGCTCGATCGATTGCTGCATCGATCGCACAGTGCTTGGGCTTAATCTATTGCGATGAGATGCGAATCAAGAGCTCTACTGTTCATAATATTATTTACGCAACTATGGGCGGCTGTAGAAATTACTGCGCACAATGAGGACGCCGTGAAGCAAGTTCCGAATGAATATAAAAAGTATCATCGAGAGGACAGTTTGCTAGATAAACTATTAAGAATAATCACTGAGCCGATCACTGTGACGGAAAAGGGGTCCGACAATGATTTCATATTTCGAGTCTTCGATATATTTGGCGATGTCATAACTGAGCTAGTTCAAGCACTAGAACTGAATGTCACGCAATCAATTCGTCAGTTGGTCCTGCGAAATATTGAGCGCGCGAAGGGAGAGCTGGCCAGTGCTGCCAAAAATGTTGAATGGGCCTCCCAGGTTCTTAATAGTAGTCTAATCGATCGTCCACACAATGCACATCAATGGCATAGAAAGGTCAGCGAAAAGCAACGCCTTATTGATAAGCTGCGGCTCTATATAAGCGTCTGCCATCTGCTGGACGACTTGATTGCCTTAAGTTCCATGCAGCTCCGCAAATGCTGCGATGTCACCGTGAAGCCGGTAATTACGTTCTGTCGAAGTTTTCGTATTCTACTGGCCAATGGCTCCAGTTATATGGCTGATTTTGCTCGTATACTGAGTCATCTTAATTTTTGCTTGGAAAACAATTCATCTCATTTGGAATACACGACGCGATGTCTTGATTTTCTTAATAACGAGATCTCCAATCTCGTTCAAGGCTTCGAGAACCTAATAAGCAAACTGCTCAAACTCTTGCACCTGAAAATTTTATACTCCAAATGTTGTATTTCATTGGCCCTGGTCGAAGACATGGAATATAATAAAAACGTCATCTCAACACCCTAAAATAGTTGTTTTTTATTTAAGCGCACTAACACAAGTTCACAACAACAAGTACGGATGAGAAAGGATGTCTATATTTATGCAGCAGTATTCATTTGGTACTTATATTTGAGTAAAACGAGGCTTTGAGGGAAAGTCGCCCTATATAAAGCGCAGCATCTGCTGAAATTATTCAGTCGTCCAGGCCTGGTGGGGGTCAGTTGTGATAATTAAGCTAAGCATTAAAGAATTGGAGGAAACAAGAAGGGGAAGTACGTT